GCCTCCTGTGTCCACAGAACAGAGGAAAAGGGGTTCGGGGCCAAAGAGTTTGTGGGATGAACTGGTGCTGGCTGGATCTTACATAGCGAGAGTTCTGATTGGCAAATGTTAATTGTTTTTAGGCAGGATTTGAAATTGAGTTCTGATTAGAATGCCAGTAGTTTTAGACTGGGGTATAAGATGAGTTTTGAAACAGGAGTAAGTGCCCTATGTTCTCCCCAAGGCCGCCCCCCCCACTCTCTTTCAGTCGGTTGTCATACTATGTGTTATTAGTTTTTGAAGAACAAGGGAGACACAGAAAGCCTGTCCCAGCAACATTCTCATCCTGGCTGAATACCAAAAACATCATGTTTATACAGACGGGTAAATAGACATTTAAAAAGAAAAGAGATTCTCAGGCTGGAGAGAATGCCCAGTGGTAAAAGCACTGGCTGTTCTTTCCCAGGACCTGGGTTCCATTCCCAACACCACTTGGCAACCACATGGCAATCCTAATTCTAGGCCCTTGGGATCCATCCCCCTATTCTGACCTCCACAGACACTGCATGCGTGTGGTGCATAGATGTTCATGCAGGCAAAGCATCTATACAAATAAGTAAAAATAAGTAAATCTTTAAAAAAAACCAAGTTCTCTAATGTTAAACAGTGCTAGGGAATATTAAATTCTTACAGTAGATGATAAGAGGCAGAATATCATCATAGTGGCTCATGCCAGTATTTCCAGCCCTTGAGAGGCTGAAATAGGAGAATTGCCATAATTTTGAGGCTAGCCTGGGCTACAAAGTGACACTCTGTTTCAAAACAAAAAATCAAACAACAAAACCAAACAATACCAAACAATTTCAGTTGAAATTATCAAACAGGTAAAATTCACAAGAGTAGAAATCTGGTTGTTGCTGGAGTATGGGATCACAGAGATAAAGAGCACAAGAGAACACTGGGGAAGGTCAGGTATTCTCTGTGTTGACACTGTGCCAGTTACAGGAGTGTCTGCGGTTATAACAACTGCACTGTTCAGTTCATGGAATAAGCATTCTCAGTAGCATTTCAATAAGCCAGTAAGAAAATCACACTTCATGTAGAAGCAGATCTGATGGCAATGATGAGATATGAAAACGTGCTCACTATCATTAGGATTCTTGAAATCAAGCAGAACCACAGCCAGAAAATATTCTGTACATGCCAAATTTGTGATATTGTAAAACTTTATGGTATTTTTGACACCTCTTAACACACACTCTGTTGACATAGGATAATATATAGAGTGATCACGTTAGGAAATATTATGGCTTATCTATGCCATTAAATACTACTTCCATGAGTATTTCTGTAAAAAATGACCTGATTATTAGAGATATGTGGAATTTATGGGACTACAGACAAATTATATAGTCAAGTATGTGTTGGGTACAACCATCAGAAGTGGAATTTGATGAAGCCACATAAATAACATTGGTAAATCTCAGGATGTAACACTGACTGGGAAAAGCTGGTTTCCAAAAGACTGCCTGCAGAATGAGTTGATATCTACCTATCCATCTGACACCTATCAATCTATCATTTAGCATCTATTTAGCAGCATACAAAACCAAACTGTATAAAGTTTAGAGGCATAAATGTGGTAACAATAAGAAAAAGTGGAAATAATGAACAGAATTAAATCATGGAACTAGAGAACAATGCAAAGAGGTTTGTTTCTTTATTTCTTCCCCTCTTCCTTTCTCTGTCTCCTCCCAGATCTCTTCACCTTCTTCTCCTCTGCATCCATAGGGTCTTGACATGTAGCCCAGCTGGGCTTGGACTCATCATCTTCCTTCCTCGGTCCTTTAATGTTGTGTTGCCACTCTTTAAACTTTATACAGTCTCTGCAGAAATTCTTTCTTGTCCCCTTAATATTTTGTGTGATATTTAGTAAAAGAGTGAAAAAATAATATAGGAGAGTCAACCAAATGTTATAAAAATTATATATATATATATATATATATATAATTTTAAAAATTATCAGTGACAACTTAAAAACATTTATGAAACTCAGTTTAAACCTGCCTATTTTTAAATTGTGAAACATCCTCATTTAGGTTGATGAAATTATGCTGTCTAAAGGCAGAACTGAAAGACATGAATGATGTTGTTAATGACATAATGCGTGGGGTAAATTCGAGGTATTATGAATATGTTACTCATTCCCAGATCATAAGTATCTGAGTACTTGTGGAGGTGAGGTGCTTGAGTGTAAAGATTTCTGCCATTTCTCTAGAGATGTTCACTTGGCCTTCTTTTCACAGCAGTTCACTACATGCAGTAGAATTCATCTCCTCTGCAGAACATTTCGAGTCATCAGAGGGACATCAGGAGTGCCTTTGCAGGGGGCATCCAACACAAAATCCTGCTTTTGAGAACCCAATATTTAAATTGAAATTTTATTCCATCTCTTCTGAAGACTGATGTTCCCCTGGTGAACTTGTGTCCTTCCACATGCCAGTGGTTTCTGGCAGAAATGACCTGACTCTGAAGGATATATTGCCTATAAGAGGAGGTAAATTCCATTCTGAATTTTTGGTCTTTTGCAAGACTAAAGTGGTCATGGGCAGATCTATTTATACTTAGGAGTCTGGTCTGACTAAGTGGCTGAGTATCAGCTCATAAGGAAGAGAAAAACCAGACACTGTTCTGGGTTGTCTAAAACTGCTTCCAAAACCACATGAAGCGAGTCTGAGAATGTGGCTCAGCTGACAGACTGCTTGCCTATTATGCATGAGGCCCTGGTTTCAGTCATCACCACGTGAACTAGGCGTGGTAGCACATACCTGTAATCCCAGTAGCTGGAGGTAAAGGAAGCAGGAATATGAGTTCAAGTTCACCTTTGGCTACATAGAAAGTTCAAGGTCAGCCTGGGATACATGAAACCTTGTCTTAAGGAATAGAGGAAGGAAGGAAAGAAAGAAAGGAAGGAAGGAAAGAAAAAAGGAAGCCCCTCTCCCAGGAGCTATAAGCAGTTAATTGTGGGTGGAGCAGAGTCACAGCCCTCAGAGGTGTAGCCTCTGTAAAGCTGACTTCCACCTACCTCATTTAAGCAACCCTAATCAAGTGCAAAGGGCCACGAAGAAGGCATGAAAGGGGGGCTCTATGTAAAGAAAGGGGTTTGGTGTGAATGGGAACAAGAGGATAATGGTGGTGGGATTTCAAAGTGCATTATATATATGTATGTGTGTATATATGTATGTATGTATGTATGTATGAATTAGGAAGGAATAGTAAAAATATGAGAGCTCTGATCATAGAAACCAAATAGTTTCTTGTGGAAATTACAGTGATATTAGGAAGTTAGGAAAGAGCATCCCTTAAATGTCTGACTTGTTTATTATCTCTAGCCTTACCAGGGCCAGGAAACAGGATTCTCAGAGGTACAAAGATGGGGAGGCAGGTTCTGGGAGGTGGAGTGGGGTGGGGAGGGCGGCAGATGTTAAAATCTTGTGTCAGTGTCTGTCACTGCTCATTCAATGCCTCCTTCTCCACACAAGCTTCTTCTAGGGTAGTAACCACTTCCTTACCTTTTCCCTACATGGCTATTCATGTGAGTAAACAGTCTATGAAAATGCTTCCAGTAATTCCAGTTTGAACTTTTTAACTTTTCTCCAATTTTTTCTTTTCTTTGATTCTAATATATATAAAATCTGTATTTATCGATAAAATTATGTTAGTGTGTGTACTCACTGTTACAGAAATGGGGTGTAGAGAAGAGGAGGTGGGGGAAGCGAGCCTGCACTAGTGGAAGTCACATCTGGACCCAGATCAGTGTTTGCCTAGGGTCAGAGTGTAGGGGTGGTCTGTGCGGTGCCCTGAAGCACCGCCCTAGTGAGGCAGCAGGTCGCTGCTAAGTACCTGCTCCTTGGGCGTGGCCACCAGGGACCCTTAAGACCTGGGGTGCAAGTATGTGCGCTCGTGGTCCTGGATGCTGGTGCGGATCAAGGCAGAGCTCTCCAGAGAACCGCGTTAGAACGTGCCCCACCCCTCCAGGATTCTGGGACTAACTCCTTTATTCTGGTTGTGAGTTAGCCCCCGAATAAATTCCTTTGACCATCAAATAGACTCCGTGGATTTCTCCCATTATCAGGGTTTATTTATCTTTCCATTAAACTTTTCTATCCAATCATAAGTTAAGAGTGCTTTCCAGGCAAATGGACATAAAATGACTGGCAGTGTAGATGGAGTTCTAGAAGATAACCAGAAGATGGGACATTAGCCATATAGGAGGTCATTCCTTTAAAAAATGGAAAAATTACATTTCTTTGTGGTGTGTGTGTGTGTGTGTGTGTGTGTGTGTGTGTGTGTGTGTGAATGTAACTGTGCATGTGCCACAGTGTCAACTTCAGGAATTGGTTATGTCCTACCATATGGGTCCTGGGAATCAAACTCAGGTCCTCAGGCTTGGCAGCAGATGCCCTAACTCTACTGAGCCATCTAACTGGTTCAAGACCATTCCCAGAACAGTGGCTGCAGACCTTATGAGACAATGTGGTAGTAATAAGAGGTGTATTTATTTCACAGTAGGCCCTCTTGTTCATTGAGTAAACTTGAAGGCACAATACTGAACCTGGAGGTCCTAAAAATACACACAGGAAGTGGTTTTGGACTTTCCCACCAGGTCAAATAGTTACACAGAGAACAGTTTTGACACTATACTTGAGAACCATCCCCTACACATATATTCTGGCTGGTTTAAAAGTTTATATAGGTAAAAAATTATATTTAAAAGCAGTCATGTTTTTTCAGGAAGAATATGGGCAAGTTATACTCTTTCTTAATGATGTTTCACTTATAGCTGTGCCCATGAAGATGTGTTTTTTGTGAGTAGGCCATACAAAACTTTAATTTTTTTTGCATCTGCACCAAACATTGTGGTAATTTATAAATAAGTTAGGAAATGAATATCAGTTAAAGAAAATCACCCTAAGCAGAAATTTCTACCAAGAAACTGACCTTGGAGATTTTTCCTAAACATTTCACCTCTAAACCAGACATGGTAGCTGACATCTATAACCCAACATTTGGGAGGCTGAGGTAAGGTAAAAGACCAGCCTGGGCTACATGCTGAGTCATTGACTATCTGTGCCTACAGAATGAGACCATGTCCAAACAAACAAACAAACAAACAAACACTATTTTCTTTGATACTGCACTGATTGGGTAAATGGCCATTTCTTGAAGATTTGAGGAAGTTTGGACTCTGAAACCTTCCTAAATGAACCTGTGACATCTTGTAATATTGAAATATTAGCTCTTTTATTAATTCACAATTTTGTTATGTCACCTTTCATTTGTATATTATTGATTCACTTAGTTATGCAGATTTTCTGAATAATAAACCATTTTGTTATATAATATAAAAAATTATGTTCATTAGCACTTAATCTATGTTGCCAAAGTAGTTTATAGGATTAGGAAATTCTTGGTATAGGTGTAGATTTTCCAAGATTCTAATTTTCAGTTGAAAGGATAAGTTTTGCCTTTGGCAATGAATACTATCAGTTGTTTTCTTTGAAGTGAAAACTCCCTTCAGTCATTCTCTTGGAAAACACTATCAAATCTAAACTAGCCTGGTCTAATAGTAAGTTCTAGGTGGGCAAGTGAGACCATAACTCAAAAAACGAAATCAAACCCCAATAGCCCCAAACTAAAACCAGCACACAACACATAGGAAGTCTGCCAGCCAATCTTTCAAGCAATAGAGCTTCCTGGAGAATGGGTGGCAGTTGCCTGAGCTATCCCAGGAGTGCCTTCCTCAAAGACGTCATCTGGTTTGTGAAGCAGTGACGGGGGCACTTTATGCATATATCTAATTCCACCCACTAAAGTTGAAAAGAAACCACTCTAGAGGTAGAGATTTAATAATACAACATTCCCTCTTTCAAGTTCCTGACAGGAAAGAGGCACAATGGTTGTCATGGCCTTAGTTTGGGCCGAGAGCAATTTCCTCCATTATTGCTTTTGCTCAGTCACTGCAAGGTCATCACAGTGACAAAGGCAGACAGCGCTGAAGACTGCTCATTCTGAGAACCCATTTGTGATGGTGATTTTGCTTGTCAGCTTGACTGGACTAAGAGGTGTCTAGGATGCAGTGAGGATTGCCTTTGGCTGTTTTCAGAGAGGGTTAATGAGATAGTGGTGTTGTGGATGACACCCATCATGAATGTGGGCTGGGATCCTGGATTTAATAAGGGAGAAAGGACAAAGCCACCTGAACACCATTCTTGTTTTGATGTTTCCTGGTCCACTGAGATGTGAGCAAGCAGTCTTCTGACCCAGGTAGGGGTGAGTGTTGCCTCCTTGCCATTCCTGATGTGGTGGACTGTGTCCCCTGAACTGTGATGTTGCTTCCTGTTAGACAGGTAGTCATAGCATTAAGAAAAGTAACTAATGTAGCATTGAAGAGCTCTTATGAACCCCCTGTCCCCAGGCTCTGAAGGACCATTCTCCAGAACTGCTGACTTTTCAGAAGGGAAAGAGATGTTGTCCACTAATTGAGATTTGCGTGGGGGACTGAAGGTTGCTAAGCAGCAGTTCCCAATCAACACTGAGCAAAGTGGTCCAAGAACATCAGCAGCCAACTACTGTCCATAAATTAAAAGGAATTTGCGTCTTAGCATGTGATTTATCTGGAAGAGGCTTTTAGTGCTGAGTTCTGGAAGAAGCCAAGAAGAATTTTATTACGGTGATCTATTTTAATATTGAGCTCAGTTCAGCCATCAAAGCCAATTTCAATAAGCTTTCAGGAAACACATGGATGTGTCTTCTCTTTAGCTATGTGTTCTGGGGCTGCTTCAGAAAGGAAATAAATTCTCTGTTAATGTTTAGGAAATGATGATGATTTCAACCTCCCTAAAACTTCTCTCAAGCTTTGTAGCTTTGACGAGGAACAACTTTCTGGGAAAGTTCTACATGTTTGTGGATTTATTGTAAAGCAAATTGAGATTTGGACTTGGGTAAATCAGGTAACATGCAGAATCTTAGGGGAACTTTGTAGGATGCAATCCCATTTTCAATTGTTCTTATAAACAAAGGTAGAGAAGCCAGGAAGGCCACACTAATGTAAACAATTTATAATAATAACAATAGTCCCTACCATTTCTGTCTCTTCTATAATAAAATAAGAGAATTTGGTCCCCCTACCTAGTAAGATATTCTCATTATCCACCTCTTCCTGTACTGTCTCAGCACACACTAGGCTTGTCTATACTCCAGGACACCAAGTGTTGGCAGAAACCATCTTTATTCCACTCTGTTGAACAGATATATTTTTGTAAATGGTGCAGAAGCATTGATTGAGTGCATTTGGAACTGAAGATCTGAAAAGGGCGTGAGGAAATAGGAAGTACATTCTGATGGTGGAATTGTGTGTAAAATGACACAAACTTGTTTTGTGACAATGATAACAGTTGATTTGATGCTAAATATTGTTTTGAAGTTGCTGTTTCTTCAGGTCTCAGAATCATCACTTTCCTGCCACCAAAGATCCAAGTTGCAGAAGCTATAGCCACCATAAGGCCTATATGAAAGATCCAAGTAGTCCTACCACATAAGAAAAGGAAGAATCTACACATTCTTAAACAAAGAACATTCATATGAGAAAGGACTAAAGGAGTTGAGGGTAAAAGAAGAAGAACTTTGTAAAATTAAAAAAAATAGTGTGGTTTAAGGAAAGCAGTGAAAAGCTGAGGTCCACCTCAGTGGTAAAGCTCTTGCTTAGCCTGATTGAAGCACAATCCTTCATACGGCTACAAAGAATAAGCAGTAAATAGTTGTTGCCCTCTCCCCTTGGACTCCTTTCCCCTTAGACATCTATTCATTTATTAGGTTTAATTTTCATCAAGGTATTGAAAATGATAGGGTGTTGGGATATTGAAGCATGGTTGTAGATTCTTTGATGCACCTTCATGGAGAGGCAGGGTCTGTCTACTTCCTTTAAATCTTGGTAAGCATGTGGCTACTTGTTAATACAGCTGTGGTGATGCTGTGATCACTAAGACAACAGTGCCCACTGCACTCACCAGGAACATTCATTCCTGAAAAGTGAGGCACTGTGGAAGAAGTTTGGACATCCTACAGCACCATGTGAGAGATGCCGTGTGTAGCCATTCTGCTTCACAGGCCAGATGTGGCTTCATCACCATCCTAGTCTCAGTGATGGATATGGGAGTGATCCCTACTCATAACCAGTCAGTTTATCCCTCACAACACAGTCATAGTAGACGAGGTTCAGTCAGACAGTAGAGCTAAGAGGATGCTTCCTTAGGGTACCTCTTCTGAGTTCCTCACCTCCACCCCACCCCAGAATTCTGAGATGGTTGATTACTTATGATGGAAGGTAGGGGTGGGTAGGTGGTTATCAGTTAGACAAATACAAGCCTATAACATCAGATACTTCCTATATCTGATGGTTCTGTCATCTCCCTCCCATCTGGTTCATACAGTCAGTTCATCAAAGGTCTCAGCCAAGTGAGACTGAGATGGTCCAGGATCAGCCATGGGGGGAAACATGCAAAAATTCATTGATTTCCTCTCAACATTAACACATGGCTGACACCAGCGACTTTGCCAACCTCAGGTACCATGTTTGCCTTGGAACTCAGACGCTCACCTTGGATGTTTAAGCATGACTGGGCAGATCTTGCAGGGTTTTTTCCCCCTAAGGTAAGGTCTGTGAAATGGAACATTAAAATGATCCTTAAAAGACTAGCTAAGCATTCTACCAGTGAAGGTCACAGTATTTATATGCCTGCTTCAGTCTTCTGAATTTTAAATACCCTATGGCTTTAATTTAGTACCCAGCATGAAGCTGTTCTCTGCTCTCTAACCTCTCTTAATGTCTTGATTTACTTGGCTATGTAAAGGTAATTATAAGAAAGACTTTTTAGAGTCACTGAGTGAGAGTACATGTCTCATTCACATAGGAAGAAAAATTTAACCAAAATGATAATGAGGGCTACCTAACTTCTAAGAGCAGAGCTTTGTTCTGTGGGCTACTCTAGTCCCCAGCACCTAGCACGGCAATTAGCATGTCATAAATATGCAAGAAGTGTTTGTTGATTAAATAGAACTGACACTGCTGAGTGAGCTACTGAAAAGAGAGAGAGAGAGAGAGAGAGAGAGAGAGAGAGAGAGAGAGATACCCACAAATTATTAGAGTTAGTTCTTTGAGTAAAAACTTGTTTACTAAAAACAGGCACGGTGATCCATACTGGTAATCCCCACACTGAGAAGGTCGAGGCAAGAGGATTGTCTATTAGTTTGAAGTAATCTTGGGCTATGTGGTGAATTCCAGGGTGGCTTGAACTACAGAATGAGATCCTGTCCTATGAAAACAAAATGATATTCAGCCATCTAATCACCAGAGTAGGTCAGCTCAGGCACCCTCTCAACCATTGCCAGTAGGCTATGGTGGAGTCATCTTTGTGGATTCCTGGGAACCTCCCTAGCACTCTGCTTCTCCCTATTCCCATGGTGCCTTCATTTATCACGGTATCTTGTTCTCCCACTCTATTCCTGTTCCAGCTCGAACCTCCCGCTCCCCTAAGTTCTCATCCCCTGTCTCTTGCCCTCCATTACCCCCCTAACGCCCAATTTGCTCATGTAGATCTCCTCCATTTCTCCATCGCTGGGTCATCCATGCATCCTTCCTAGGGTCCTCCTTACTAGCTAGCCTCCCTGGAGCTGTGGGTTGCAGTCTGGTTATCCTTTGCTTTACATCTAGTATCCATTTATGAGTGAGTACATACCATGTTTGACCTTCTGCGTCTGGGTTACCTCACTCAGGATGATATTTTCTAGTTCCATCCATTTGCCTGCAAACCTCATAATGTCATTATTTTTCTCTGCTGAGTAGTACTCCATTGTGTATACATACATTTTCCTCATCCAATGACTGATGGAAGCAGATGCAGAGATCCATGACCAGGTCCCAGGCGGAGCTCCAGGAGTCCAATTGATGAGAGAGAGGAGGGATTCTATGAGCAAGAGATAGTGAGACCATGATTGGAAAAAGTACAGAGACAACTAGCCAAACTAGTGGAAACACATGAACTGTGCACCAATAGCTGAGGAGCCCCCATGGTACTGGATCAGGCCCTCTGGATAAGCGAGACAGTTGTTTAGCTTGAACTATTTAGGGGGCCCCCAGGCAGTGGGATTGGGACCTGTCCTTAGTGCATGAGCTGGCTTTTTGGAGCCCAGTGCCTATGGTGAGACACTTTGCACAGCCTTGGTACAGGGAGGAGGGGCTTGGACCTGCCTCAACTGAATGTACCAGGCTCTGCTACATTGAAAGAAAATGGCTCCCAAAGGGAGTGGCACTAGTAGGTGTGGCCTTATTGGAGTAGGCGTGGCCTTATTGGAGTAGGCGTGGCCTTATTGGAGTAGGCATGGCCTTGTTGGAGTAGGTGTGGTCTTGTTGGAGGAAGTGTGTCACCGTGGAAGTGGGCTTTGAGGTCTCATATATGCTGAAGATACCACCCAGTGTTTTAGACCACTTCCTCTTGCCTGAGAGCCAAGATGTAGGACTCTCAGCTGCTTCTCCAGTACCATATTTGCCTGCAAGACACCATGTCCCACCATCACGATAATGGACTGAACCTCTGAAGGGCAAGCGAGCCACCCTAATTAAATGTTTTCCTTTTTAGAGTTGCTGTGGTCATGCATGGCATCTCTTCATAGTAATAGAAGTTCTAAGACAACAGCACAGCACAATACAGTGAAAAGACAAAATTGATTAAAGTTTTATCCATATTCTGTATCTGTGTGTCTAATATTTCTATCACATAGAAAGGCTTTTATCATTTAAGACAAAAGCCAAGTTGCCTATAATCTCGAACTAAAGAAATGGAATTCAGTTGAAACCCCTTTCCTTGTTTGGGGATGTGTGCAAACAATTTTGCCTAATAACTTTTTTGTTTGATTTGTCTCATTTCCAATACAAGTGTTCACATGAGGCTCCCCATCACAGGCAGCTCCTGTGATGTTCAACAATGTTCAACAATGGCACAATTCTTTCACAAACCTTTTCCCAACCTGTAGGATGCCATCCACTATTGTTTACAGAGCACCTGGGAACAGAGCAGTGTTGCATGAATTTTAAATGGTCTTTTAATAAAAACAAAACAAAACCCAGAGTCAGATATTGGGGTAAATGCTGAAAGATCAGAGAGACAAAGGAACAAACCACTAGAGAAACTTCTCACCACTACCAGATCCTCAGGCTGAATAGAAGGCGAGATTCTATCTCTACAAAACCTCTGACTGAATTCCTTTGAGTCCTTAGCCAAACCCGTCTAGTTCCTGTCTCCTCAGGCCTTACTTGCCTTTCTCCACCCAGCCATTAAACTTCCTTCCTAGTGCTGGGATTAATGGTGTGTGTGTTTCCCAAAGACTGGTAGCAAAGGCATGAGCTATCAAGTGCTGGGATCAAAGGCATGAGATCTCAAGTGCTGGGATTAAAGGTGTGTGCCACCACTGCCTGGCCTCTATGTTTAACTCTGTGGCTGGCTCTGTCCTCTGATCCTCAGGTAAGCTTTATTTGATAACACAACACATGACCAGAGAGCAGCCTGCCATTGGCCCTGGATGCAGTGCTGCTGCTGCTTTCCGTGGTCCTCAGCGCCTGCCACTGCTCCTTTGGTCCTCATGCCCACCACGTAGGGATCGTATTACACTTGCATCACCAATATCCATATCCTGAGAAGAGGATGCTAAGAGGCTAACTTTTGCCAAGTAACTTGCCCCTGTTTCGGTCACTGTTGTGTCTCTGTGACAAACACCTGAAGAACAACTTAAAGGAGGAAGATGAGTCTTGCCGTCGCTGCAGAGGTGTCAATCTGTTGTGGTGGGGAGGGAGTGTCAGAGAAGAGCAGCTCACACCGAGAATCCAGGAAGCAGGAAGAGGAAACAGGAAAGGACAGCCACAAGAACACATCCAGAGGGACCTACTTCCTCCAACACGGCTCCAACACCCACCTTTCATTACTTCCCAATAATGCCATGGTGTTATCAGTCAAGGGATCATTATATTGACTAGGTGAGAGCTTTCATAATCCACTAATCGGCATGATTTTTAGTTCCATCATGTCAACAGTTAAATAAACCATTGTATCACTCAATTTCAAACATGTGATAATAGCCAAGCTTCAAACCCCATCCCTCTGACTTCAGATTCAGGGTTCTTGTCTTGGACGCTGTTACCTTGTAGACACTTTATGCCAGGCTCATGTTCTCCAAAAGAATCAAAACAGGCTACAGCAATAATTTAATATTAATTAATTTCTCCATTAAAAAGTGACAGCTTGGGTTAGAGAGTTGTCTCGACAGTTTAGAGCACTTGCTGCTCTTGCAGAAGACCTGGTTCCAGTTCCCGGTACCACATGATGGTTCACAACCATCTGTAACTCCAGTTCTAGGGGACAAATCCTTTTCTGGCCTCTGTGGGCACCAGGCACGCATATAGTGCACATACATACATACAGGCAAAACACTCATATAGATAAAATAAACATTTTTAAAAAAAAGACAGCTTGCATTTCCTTTTTAAACATAATTTTTATTGATTCTTTGGTAATTTCACATCACGCACCCCAATCCCACTCATCTCCCAGTCCCTCCATATCTCCCCTTCACCCTTGTAGCATCCCTCCCCAAAAGAAAATAAAAAAAATATTAGTTAAAAAATAGAAACCAAAGCCTCCCAAAAAACCCAAACCAAAACAAACAAAAAACCCAAACCACTTTGCTCCTCTATCCTGCTGTTGTCCTGAGTCATGGAGAGCCTGTGGCTATGGTTCCACAGGACCAGTCCCTTCATGTGCTCCAGCAGGTCACAGATGGGGCAGATGCTGGGGTGGTCCTCGGTGGTAGCTGAGTTGGTCAGTCCGGGCCCCCAACAGCTTGCATTTCAAATAGAGAAAGCCTCCTTTCCTTGTAAATGTAACTTGGAAGATATCTGGCCCATTTTAGCAGAGCTGTGGCATGCTGTCCAGGAGGCTCATTATCCAAATTAACCCAGGGGTTACAGATCATCTTTCAAACCTACCATTAATACACATGTATTAGAGAAGTAACCCCATGGAAGCACATCAAGAACCCTATGGTAAGTTTCTCTTTTTATGGATACAGAAGTGATTTCCAGGAAACTTCCTGTATCTGAGAATTAACAAGGAGATCAGCCACATACACACAGTGTGAAAAGGCCCTGCACTCTGTTGAGCTCCAACTGGAGGCAATGGCCTCCAACTCACCCCATGATGTAGCTAATGGGAAAAATTATGGAGTCAGGAGTGAGATAGTGTGTCCCAATCCTGACTTTGATGCTTCTAAGTAAGTTCATGTATGTGGAAGGTACTAATGAACCCCTCAGACACTCAGTTTCTTTCAGATAAAATGGTCATTTTAGATGATCTACCCTGAAGTAGATCTGCCAGTATTAGTGCATAAAAATATAGGTTACCTTACTAAATTTAAATTCCAGATAAACACAATATTTAAAAAAAGAGTACCATAAACATTGCATGTGGTACAAACTAAAGTTATTGCATGAGCTACAACAAAATCTTTTGTCATCCAAAATTGAAGTTTATTGGGCATCCTGTGTTGTATGTGGGACCTCTACACTAAAGGGCTGGTGCGGTGGCTGAGAGACGTAACAGATGTCAGTCTAGCTCACGCCCTGTCCATGAGAGATAGATAACATGCCTTTCTTTCTCTTACAGAAGGACCTCATGATACCAAGGTTCCTGCCCTGATCTGGATTTGTCATCTCTCCTCTTAAAAGTTTCTTTCCTGTGACTGCAAATGTTCAAGTTTTCCTTATCCACCAAATTTAACATAAAATATTAAAATTGAGTATTTCTGATAGCTAACATTTAGTTTCTCCCCAGTGTTTTGACAAATTTATGGAGTATTTTATACGTAGTTCCAATGTGTCCTCCTCACTCACTCTGTATTAATTCTTAGAACACCTCCCACTGCCTGGCAAAGTGCTGGGAAGTGGGCTACAGAAGTGAGTGATACTTGGGCTCACTCATGTGATTGGGGGTGTTGGCTTAGACTTTACCTGCTGAGGTCCACCCATCCCTTCCGGACCTCCTTCCTTTCTGTCACCTCCCATTTCACACTCCATCATTGTCTTGCTCTACTGGAAAGGAAACCACATTTTGTCTCCATGGTTCACCAGGATGTCTCTGGTCCTAGAACAGTACCAGGGAAGTTATGGATGTTTGTCATCTATTTGCTGAGCTGGAATGAGCATGGATGGATGGATAGACAAAGAATGACTGTGAGCAAGACCCAGAAAAGAGAGCATTTTCTGGGACTGAACAGAAGATGTGAATTGAAATATCCACAGTATGAACAGCTTCTGTGGTTATTAGAATCCTAACTTGCCCGTGACTGTACACCCAATTTACAAGATGCTGCTGAATTCAGGAGTCAAAGAAAGCAAAAACATTACAAAGGCTTTGAAAAGTCCCATGCCCTAAAATCATCTCCTTCCTCTCTGTCCCCTGGGCTCCTTCTCATATTTGTGCCATAATAATAAATCCATACCAAACACAAAGAACAAGGATGGAATGGGTCTCTTTCCTCCCCACAAAGCTAAGCACCTGTTCTCTGTGCCCAGCTGGGCCCCTCCATCAGGGAAGCAGGAGCACATTGTTCTTACTGAGGCTTCAGAAGCAGAGTTCAGCACCCTTCAGCCAGATGAGGGCCTCCAACAGCGCTCCCTGCTTCTAGCTACTCTTTTTTAAAATATAAATTTAATCATAGATGATGTAGAAATGGTGTGACAGAAAAAAACAGGGAGAAGAGAAGCAGTCGCAGTCACAAAGAACTGACTCGGGGCTTCACTTTTCCAGGTGTGGAGGACTTTGCCAGTGGTACAGGACATTCACAGACACAGACACAGACACAGACACAGACACACACACACACACACACACACACACACACAGACACACACACACATACACACACAGACAGACACACACAGACACACACAGACACACACACACAGACACAGACACACA